AGAAGGTATCTGTTGGAAGAACCTGTATGAGGCCTTCATTTTTGCGCTTGTTCCACCGCATCTTATTCCAAACCTTCCACACCTGAGACCGTCGTTTGTCATTTATGTCAAGAGTGATGAGCAGAGGTTGTGGTCTCCCATGTTCATCAATTGGGTGTTGCGGTTTCTCATTATTAGTACTTGCACTAGCACTAGTACTCACTGTAATAGTGTCACGCAAAATTATTAAATCTTTCTCCAATGACACTGAACACCCTTTCAGAGCTGGCAATTCTGGCACCATTTCAACAGGAGGGGGGATTTCATTGCTAATATTTATTCGTTCCATTTTTCCTGTTTTCAATTCACAAGGTTCAAAAATCAAAATGGAACTTCACAAGGTAAAAAAATTCCCTGAAATCAGAAGACAGAGAAAAATTATTTGATAGCGGGTTCATGACAGTGTCATTATTAGCATGAATGTACACAACAGAGGATAACATAGAAACATGTATGCATAAGCCTCAACAGAATGTTTACACATACACACATTTTGGAACGTTGCAAATGAAACGTACTTCTGTATACTTCCTACAGTTGGTATACTGCATTCAATTCAAAGTCTTTATTCCCCGTATTCCTAGTCCAAATCCATGAATATGCACATTTTTAGGCATACGTGTTAAATTCTAGGATCACATTTATTAACAAAACACAGCATAATTACCATTTGTGTATGAACAAAGTAAGTTTGTAAAGCAAAGAGTATTTACTACCTCATTATGTAGTACATGATTAATTAAAATGTCTGTGGGGGGCAAGTATGTTTCAGACAAATGATGGTCCAAAATTGATTAATATCATTGGTTAATGGATCACAATTTAAGTCGATGTTCATATGAAAAGGGAAAAATTTCCCAACAACATCACTTAATGGCACTTCCTCAACATTTGCATCAACATTCCTCACTTCATAACAACCAACACGATCAAAACCAGGGTATGGAGTATCCCTTGAAAACCACTTGTAAAATGAAACGTTCACAAGAATATAAATGGATTTACACACTTCTGTATACTTCCTACAGTTGGTATACTGCATTCAAATCAAAGTCTCTCCCCGTATTCCTAGTCCAAATCCATGAATATGCACATTTTTAAGCATACGTGTTAAATTGTAGGATCACATTTATTAACAAAACACAGCATAATTAACATTTGTGTATGAACAAAGTAAGTTTGTAAAGCAAAGACTATTTACTACCTCATTATGTACTATATGAATAATTAAAATGTCTGTGGGGGGCAAGTATGTTTCAGACGAATGATGGTCCAAAACTGATTGATATCATTGGTTAATGGATCACAATTTAAATCAATGTTCATATGAAAAGGGAAAAATTTCCCAACAACATCACTTAATGGCACTTCCTCAACATTCGCATCAACATTCCTTACTTCATAACAACCAACACGATCAAAACCAGGGCATGGAGCATCCCTTGAAAACCACTTGTGCTGAGCTGGTTTCACAGTCTTGAATTTTTTCACCTTCAAGAACAGCTCCTCATTCTTGAAGTGCCTGCCAAAATCCGTTACAATAGCAGGATAAAAGTGCTTCAATGTGTTTGCTTTTCCCAACTTGCGAAGAACAATGATGTTGTCAGGATACCTGGTTGGACATATGAGAAACGTTAATGTATATGCATTATGGAATGTGTATTTGATTATTATTCACACGCTACAAAAAACGGGATCTTTACGCATATTTTCACGTGTCATTTCCCCGCAACTTTCTGACGCACTTTCTCAAAACGCCTCAGGTTTTCCTGGGTGGTTTAACAGTCTTGAATTTTTTCACCTTCAAGAACAGCTCCTCATTCTTCAAATTCCTGCCAAAATCCGTTACAATTGCAGCATAAAAATGCTTCAATGTGTTTGCTTTTCCCAACTTGCAAAGAACAATGATGTTGTCAGGATACCTGGTTGGACATATGAGAAACGTTAGTGTATATTCATTATGCAATGTGTATTTGTTACTAATAACAATGTTAAACTCAAGTGCAAGTTATGCAGAAGCCAATACATTGAATGCACATCTTCTTGCCCTCCAACCTTGCATGCAACACTGTACTTTCTGGTAAATACAGTGTTCCCAATTCTTTCATTGCTTTTAACTCAGTAGCAGCACTAACTCTAACTGGATTTGGATTACCATTGAAATCGGTTGGAATGCTATGGGCAGCAACTTCACAAAGTCGATTGAAGCACTGCTTCCAGACACTTTTACCACTTTGAATCAGAGTTTTATTTCAGAAAATCCTCAAAAAGTTTTCAAATGGATATGCATCAAAGCCACCTAGATGAGATGAATATACTGATACTTCTGTGGCAAGATGAATTAATAAGTGGTTCTTGGGTGTTAACAAATTGTCGCAATCCTCCATTTTCAATGCCTCAACATAATGTCTCAACAATTCATCTGCTAAGCAAATGTCATTATTGGAAGGGCTTTCATGCCTAGTGTGACCAATTAAGTGCATAGCATAAACCAAAGACATAAATGCATGCACCATGTCATCTTCAACAAAGGAATTTCTAATTCTTTCAACTCCAAAGAGTGCAATTGTATGATACACTAGGCATTCATAGGCCTCTCGCATTTTCCAATACTCCATTTTTTCTAGACTCCTCACACAACAATTCATTTCCACAACAGTACTTGAAGACCAAGCCACAAAGTGCTTGTCAATGGTATTCAAGTACTCCTTTGAGGGCTTCAAAGATCTCCCCACATTTTTATGCATCTTGAGAACGTATTGCAATCCAAGGCTCACAGCACTTCCCCCAATTATGTGCATTGCATCAAGTGCAAATCCAAACACCTGTTCAAGTATTAAAGATTACTTATTGCATGACAGAACGTGTGCCACCTGGCTAACTTATGTATTCTCTCAAAATGACTCACCATAGACACAATAGGTGTATTGTTGAATGGAGAAGGATGTCCTCTATGGGGTTTGTTAAATTTCATCCCTTCTGGAATAACATCATACTGTCCCCATTTTTCATTTGTACGTAGAGGCGCATTTATGTTTTTGAATCGGACACAGCCTTCACTGAAAACTCTGTAATCTTCGCATCTTTCACAAGAATTGAAGCCACTTGTTCCAAGTCCTACATGTTTAATAGCACAACAAGTTCAGTGACAACACTCATTTTCAAAAACAACGTGACATTTTACATTTACCTTTCACGTAAGCTTGTTCTGGTGCATCAGCAATAATGCACCAAACACGCACAGCAAATGGGCATATGTTGCCATTAATTTCTCTGTTGCATGACGGATGAAGGTGTTTCCCTTCTTCCAAGAGGCATTTCATGAAAGAAAAGACATCAGGTTTTCCATCCCTGTGATAAATTCCTACTATCATTGGCTTTGATAGTGCAAGAGGTACAATCAGTCTAGGTTGTACCTCCCTTGTAGTTCCAAAACCATACACTCTCATCAGAATTGCCTTAACCTAAAGTACATGCTGAATAAGAATGTTGAATGTAATACAGAGGAAATGTAATCAAGTTAACTTGCATACCTGACTTGTGGTTGAATTGTTGAAAATTTGGACACCATCAATGTGGATATCAACCCAAATGCAAGTTTCTTCAGTTTCAAGTTGAATTTGGGGTTGGATGCCCAACTTCAAAACTTCTTCCCTAATTTGTTTAGGTAAGGCTGTGATGAATGTTGTAGTGAATATAGTACTATCCATTCCATGTATTAAACATAGGAGGTGAGTGTGCTTGTCACGCTCTATAAGGCCTGTTATATATAAAAAGTAATTTGAATCACAATATCCTTCATGATATAATGTATGTCTATTACAAACCTGGTGATAAGCCCATGATTCCCTTTGCAACACCAAGATGAAGGTACCACTTCCCATTTGTTGCTTCACTTTGCAATAGTGACACAGGAGAAAGTTCAGAGGTGGATACATCAAAAATTGAAGGTACTCCGAAAGTAAGGGGATCCACCTGATTTTTTTCAAAAGGTTATGAGGATTTGAATATTTGGTATTTTTTGACTTTATTTCTGAATACTTGAAATAATTGTAATTACCTTCATCAAGGTCAGAGGTGACAATGGCAATTCCCTCCAATCTGTAAGTGGACAGAACTCTTGCATTGTCCTCACTAACTCAGTGTATGCCGCATGCGAGAAGCATTGCCCAATCATTATGAAGTGCCTCATGAGTTGAACAAAAGTGTACATAACCACACTTGGGGAGAAGTCTGGCGNATATAATTTGTAAGATATTACCAAAACATTTCATACATAAGAAAGTCATTCGCAATGAACAGATGACAGAGTGATCATTCCAAACCATCATACACTATAACATGTATATGTTTACATTGAAGTAAATCGAACAACACCTTATTATTCGTAGTGCCACTCCGATGATTCTTCCTGCTGTTCTCCTTGACCATAATGCGTCCCTCATCTCCACAAAATGCTGTTATCCTCTCAAAGACGCGCCATTCAAAACTCGCAGTTCACCAATCATGACGAGTACACGCGCCGTACACAACTCGCTGTTCACCACTTACGACGAGTATACGCGCCGTTCACAACTCGCTGTTAATGCGCCGTAATTGTAGCACGATTTAAAGGATGCGCCGTTCACAAGTTAAAACTCAATGTTCGTTAACGCGCCGTACTTGTAGGGAGATTTAAAGGACGCGCCGTTCACAAGTTAAAACTCAATGCTCGTTAACGCACCGTACTTGTAGCGCGATTTAAAGGATGCGCCGTTCACAAGTTAAAACTAAATGTTCAAACACACTCGGCGTATTTGTGAGTCGCGTGTGAATCCTAAAAATTCCTGTAAAGAGTAGAAATGCATTTCAATTTGAACTTGTATATCTTACACATGATTGTAAGGAATGCTTTCAGAAATGATCATAATGTACATTCATTTTATAAGTAATTCCCCACGATATGAAAACGATTGAAAATATCCGATAAAAAAAATGCACCACGACTTTCACAAATATAAAAACAATTTCAGGTCAGTGACTCGGTAACAAAAAAATTATGTAAATATTTAAAAAAATGCAAAACGATGTTTAATAACTTTTGGGAAGTTAATCATCATCAGATGAAGAATCTGTCAAATTTTTTTGAGCCATATCTGAAAAAGACTCCTGGACATGTCCGCCAAATAGATTTGGCCAAATATCGTGACGTTTGTAATAAACATCATTCAGCCACACTCTGAAGCTCTGAAATTCTTTGGAAACACAATCCATTTCTTGCATGTAATGCCCAATGATTGTCCTCATTTGTTTCTCGTAGCACGTCTTTATCTGCAAAAAGGCAGAATTGTATGTATTATTATTTTCGATGCAATTCCCTTAACATTCTGCCCACTAACCCATTTCTTGAACGTCACAATGCCAATGTTTGGTTTCGTTGAAAATGAGGAGGCATCTTTCTTGATGATGTCTTTCATCACGTCATTCAATTTTTCATCTCGTAAATTTGTTAGCTTCCGGACCTCGTCGGTTAGTATTGAACGCATTAAACCAGGAACAAACGGTGACCCTGTTAATCATATTTTAAATTGCAATTAGGATGCAGCCCACTTTTTAATTACATACATGAGCATGTAAAACATAACATTTATACTAACTTTTGCCATCTGGTGATAGTGAAAACATGCAGTCAAAACGGAAGTTTACGAATGGACTTTCTTGCAATTCTTCGTTTTGAACATCCTCGTCATCACTGGAACCAGCAGATGTACTTCTATTCTTCTTGGCAGTTGAGGTGCCTGAATACGTGCCGTACTTTAAAATCGCACCGCATGAATCAGCTGGAAAGAGTGATCTTGCGAGGATGTTGTAGAAAATGCCCTTCCCAATAATTTCATTAGGGGCCTGTAACATAGTTGAAGTACATGTGTATTACATCAAAACAGAGTATGATTTTTGTTTTATGCACATACCATCTTTTTCTTTTCCTCAGGTGTTTCAGCTATCGATGCAAGAGTACGGCGGGCAAGGTTCTCGCAGTACTTTCTCATCCGTTGGATAAGACAGTAAAGGTCATCCAGTCGAATGAAGAGTCCAACATCAGTTCCGTCTTGAGTAGGCGCACAAGCAAGCATGACGCATGGAGTTAATTCCATTTCCTAAAAAAATTATGACTTCAGTATATTGCTATACAAATTGTAAGTAGCGCGTAAATTCCGAATATACAATGCGCTATTCTTGCTTTGACGCGCTAATAATAAATGACGCATGGAGTTAATTCCATTTCCTAAAAAAATTATGACTTCAGTATATTGCTATACAAATTGTAAGTAGCGCGTAAATTGCGAATATACAATGCGCTATTCTTGCTTTGACGCGCTAATAATAATAATATACAATGCGCTATTCTTGCTTTGACGCGCTAATAATATTTCATATATACCCTGCGCTGTTCTTAATTTCAACGCGCTTATAACATTTCACACTTATACTGCGCTGTTCTTACTTACAACACGCACTTTTTCTTTTCCTCAGGTGTTTCAGCTATCGATGCAAGAGTACGGCGGGCAAGGTTCTCGCAGTATTTTCTCATCCGTTGGATAAGACAGTAAAGGTCATCCAGTCAAATGAAGAGTCCAACATCAGTTCCGTCTTGACTAGGCGCACAAGCAACCATGACGCATGGAGTTAATTCCATTTCCTAAAAAAATTATGACTTCAGTATATTGCTATACAAATTTTAAGTAACGGTGAAAAGTTACTGATTAGCTTTATGTCCGAAACTGAAGAAAACACTAACATATGAAATAATGTGTACTAGTTGCACATTATAAATAGCGATGTGTAAATACCACCAGCGCGTAAATTCCGAATATACAATGCGCTATTCTTGCTTTGACGCGCTTATAATATTTCAAATATACCCTGCGCTGTTCTTAATTTCAACGCGCTTATAACATTTCACACATATACTGCGCTGTTCTTACTTACAACACGCGCTGAATACATTAACAGCGCGTCAAGCACAACACCAGCTACATATTTGTGTAACATTCACAGAAAATTCATTTCAAAAGTGTGTAGTAAAGTATTACTCACCTCACCAATTGCTATGGAAACCTTTTCTTCATTACTGATGTCCTCCACCCACAGGCTTCCTTGGTACGTGTACTTTGGGAACTGCAACTACCTTCTGCAAGTCTCTTTGAATTAGGCGGTACACTGCCTCAGATTCCATATTTAGCACTTTTGGTGAGTGCATAATCGTTGAACGATACGCTGCCAAGAGAGCTCCAATTGTGTTTGCATTGTATGTAGTTTCATTAATTTCCGCTGCTGTCACATTGCGGCACAAGTGAATATTACTCATTTTACGCACGTTTCACCAAAAATAATCAACAAGCCTGAAAAGGATTAAAATATGAATTACCATTAATTTAAGTACATCACTCTACTTAAAAAAATTACCCATAAATAACATTACACACAACAAATACATTCCCTGCTTGAAGAATTACGCGCGTCACTAATAGGAAGAAGACATGCAGCATATAACACAACAAACACATTCCTGTATAGAATGCATGGGACACAAACAGCGCATTGTCGTAGCCCTTAGTTGCCGCGCTCACGGAAACGGCGCAGGGTACGAGTAAACAGCGCGTGTATACATGTATACAATGCATAGGACACAAACAGCGCGTTGTCGTAGCCCTTAGTTGCCGCGCTCACGGAAACGGCGCAGGGTGAGAGTAAACAGCGCGTGTATACATTCAATTACGGAGAACGGTGCCTCGCAATCATGAAAGGGCACCGCTTGCGCTTTGAATATGTGAACGACGCGCCAAGAAAGTGGAGACTTTCTTGGCAGGGTTAAGTGAACAACTGGAGCGATTAGTGTATGGGAACGGGAAATCGTGGGAAGGGGGATCCTATACCTATGATGAGAAATTACTGCGTACTGTTATATTCGTTCTTCTTTATGCAAAGAATTGTTGAAAGGTGTTATAAAATAACTTATCAAAACTACAGGCTCAAGACATCTTGAAAATGTTGCAACTTTCATTTTTTTTTGTATTAATTTGTTAGTAGTAGTAGTAGTAGTAGTAGAAAACATGCTGTATTGGCGGGCCAGATGAAAAGCCTCTGCGGGAGAGATGTTGCCCGCGGGCCGTAAATTGGGCACCCCTGACATAGATCGTGTCATTGGTATGTGAAACAGCATAAAAATTGTGTACTCACCTCATCTTCATAACCCTGCTTTACAGTTGACGATGCGCCGTTCCCATACACAAATTGCTCATGGTGTTCACCATGCGCAGTTCCTCGTAACGCGCTTTACACAACGCGCCATTCACTTTGTCCTGCCGGGTATCCACTTTCTTGGCGCGTTGTTCACATATTCAAAGCGCACCTCTCCACTTATATGAGATGCGCCGTTCCCATACACAAATTGCTCATGGTGTTCACCATGCGCAGTTCCTCGTAATGCGCTTTAAACAACGCGCCATTCACTTTGTCCTGCCGGGTATCCACTTTCTTGGCGCGTTGTTCACATATTCGAAGCGCACCTCTCCACTTATATGACGCGCCATTCACAATCGATGTTCACATCCACATATTCTCAGAACGCGATTTCATCAACACGCCGTTTTAGTCACGTTGCGTAGCTGTAAAAAAGAAACGCCGCTTGCGTATGAACGCGATTTTCACACCGCACCTTCCACAAGTTCCTTTGTTGGAATTCCTGAAATTAATGAAAGTACACATTACATATAATATACATTCTGTGCTTCTCATACTATTAAAAATGAAGATGATACACGGATGATTTACAAATGCTTCAAAATTATTTTATTCAACATAGGTCGCATTTGTACATTCATGAAGCTGTCATAAAATTATAAAATTGTTTCAAAATGTTCAACATTTACCTTCATCATCAACTTCTGCAAACCTGCCATACAGGCTTGCAACAGGGCCAAGTGTCTTCTTATCATGCTTCGGTGTTTTCTTGGGAGGACACTTGTTTTTTTCGGACGTATTTCCTTTTTTTGACTGTAGCATTTGAACTTTTCTGTAATTTAAGCAAAATTTGTAAATAAAATAAATTATAAATAAAGCTAATTTTTATTTAGTACCTGTTGTTGAGAAAGTTTATCAATGCCGCTACTTGATGCTTCCTTTAATGCATCAAGTGAAGATGCAGAGGTACATGCAATACTGTTGGCTTCTTTCTGTACATGAGGACCAGGAGCAGCAGATTTACAGCCCTTATTGAAAAAGAATAACAGCACATTATAATACAGATTAATCATTTACTTACATGAAAAGTAATTTCTCACCTTCATGGATGCCCTTATTCTTTTCTTCGCTTTCTTTGCAACGTCATACAATGCATCATCTTGAATTCCCATAAGCTGCATTTCTTCAACGTTATGTATTACCTCCAAGACCTTCTCACATTTCTTACAATTATCCCCTTCACTGCTTGAATTTGTGAAGCATGCATGCAGCAGCTGCTTCAGCATGTTGACGTTGCAATAATCCAATCTGTTTGTGTAACAGAATTCAACGAGTTCCTTCCCTGCACTGCATCCCTTACACTTATCCTCATCAGCAATTGGTAGCTTCGTTTGAATACCTGAACAAGAAAGACATGTATAAGTTCTAATACAAACTTGTAAGTTATATTACATACTTATAAAGTAAACGTAGGACCTCGAAAATGTAAAAAAAACAAGGAATCATTTAGAAATATAACATTACTGTCGGTATGTAAACATTACTGTTCATACTGGAAATATATATATAACAGTAATGCATTTACCTATGTGTTGTCTTGCATGTGAACCTTCTACACTTGGTTGATCTTCCACTCCATCTTCAATCAATGCTTGTAGTGCATTTGAACCTTCCAAACTTGGTTGCTCTTCCACTCCATCTTCAAGCAATGCATGTGAATCAGTAGGGTGTTGGTCTGCTTCCACGAATTGTGATGAATGTTGATCTGGAAAAGGTTTACTTGACATTACCATTGCATGTGAAAGGAAAATTGATTATTATGCGTTATTCTAGCGTTATTCTTATCATCTGCATCATTAAAGTTATTTACTGATTATTACATATACGCACTTCCTGAGTCCGGAATTTCATATTCAGGCAACGACAATTCATTGGTTCGTCTCAACTCAGCAATATCAGCAACACCATGGTCTGGAACTTCCGTATCTACTTTTTTTAAATAAAAGATAAACATTACACATTGCAACCTTGTGTTAATAAAAATATACATACATTCTAATTCTTCTGTACCTCCATCAGGCTGAGGCAATTCCAGGGGTGGGGTTACATCAGCAACCTCAGGAACATAAGGTGCAACTTCTGTATCTATAAACCGTTTGATAGAAAATGTTAAAATTACAGCATATCTTAACCTTGTGTTAGTAAAAATATACATACATTCTAATTCTTCTGTACCTCCGTCAGGCTGAGGCAATTCCAGGGGTGGGGTTACATCAGCAACCTCAGGAACATAAAGTGCAACTTCGGTATCTATACACCGTTTGATAGAAATTGTTAACATTACAGCATATCTTTACCTTGTGTTATTACAAGTATACGTACATTCAAATTTTTCCGATACTGCCTCAAATTGAGGAGCTTCCGAGGGTGGGGTGGAATGAGCAACATCATGCATTCCAATTTCCGTATGTTCTTCACCTGAACAAGAATAAGTAATAAGTAATTTACGTTCTTTTTTTATTGTGTTAGTTCAAGTACACATACATCCCAAGCTTTCCATCACTGCTGTGTTGTTTGTTGGTTGTTGCTCTCCAGGAATGGAATCAGGAGGTACTGAATGGACTGCAGGAGGTCCTCTATCATCACCGTGTCCCATTACAGTTTCACATTCCGTTTCATGTTCTTCTTTGTAAAACACTCTGCATAGCTCCACCAATTCTGTAATTTTAACATACATAACATAATGATAAGGATGATAATAACATTAATCATTTTGTAGAAATGTGAAACAAATTGAAACTCACTGTTTTTCCTCATGCATGAAAGAATTAGAGTCTTCAATACGTCAATGAAGCTATCTAGTTCTTTCGGCCTTAACTTGTTTGACGTAATTAATGCGTACGCCTTGTCCGCCTTCTGCAAGTCTCTTTGAATTAGGCGGTACACCGCCTCAGATTCCATATTTTGCACTTTTGGTGAGTGCATGATCGTTGAACGATACGCTGCCAAGAGAGCTCCAATTGTGTTCGCATTGTATGTAGTTTCATTAATTTCCGCTGCTGTCACATTGCGGCACAAGTGAATATTACTCATTTTACGCACGTTTCACCAAAAATACTCAACAAGCCTGAAAAGGATAAAAAAATGAATTACCATTAATGTAAGTACATCACTATACTTAAAAAAATTACCCATAAATAACATTGCACACAACAAATACATTCCCTGCTTAAAGAATTACGCGCGTCACTAATAGGAAGAAGACATGCAGCATATCACACAAGAAACACATTCCTGTATAGAATGCATGGGACACAAACAGCGCGTTGTTGTAGCCCTTAGTTGCCGCGCTCACGGAAACAGCGCAGGGTAAGAGTAAACAGCGCGTGTATACATGTATACAATGCATAGGACACAAACAGCGCGTTGTTGTAGCCCTTAGTTGCCGCGCTCACAGAAACGGCGCAGGGTAAGAGTAAACAGCGCGTGTATACATTCAATTACGGAGAACGGTGCCTCGCAATCATGAAAGGGCGCCGCTTGCGCTTTGAATATGTGAACGACGCGCACGCTCACGGAAACGGCGCAGGGTAAGAGTAAACAGCGCGTGTTTACATGTATACAATGCATAGGACACAAACAGCGCGTTGTCGTAGCCCTTAGTTGCCACGCTCACGGAAATGGCGCAGGGTGAGAGTAAACAGCGCGTGTATACATTCAATTTCGGAGAACGGTGCCTCGCAATCATGAAAGGGCGCGTTGTGAAACTGCGAGTGTGAAAAGCGCGTCATATAATTGGAGACCTGCGTCATATAATTGGAGAGCTGCACTTTGAATATGTGAACGACGCGCCAAGAAAGTGGAGACCCGGCAGGGTTAAGTGAACAACTGGAGCGATTAGTGTATGGGAACGGGAAATCGTGGGAAGGGGGATCCTATACCTATGATGAGAAATTACTGCGTACTGTTATATTCGTTCTTCTTGATACAAAGAATTGTTGAAAGGTGTTATAAAATTACTTATAAAAACTACAGGCTGAAGACGTCTTGAAAATGTTGCAAATTTCACTTTTTTTGGTCTTAATTTGTTAGTAGTAGTAGTAGTAGTATTAGCAAACATGCTGTATTGGCGGGCCAGATGAAAAGCCTCTGCGGGAGAGATGTTGCCCGCGGGCCGTAAATTGGGCACCCCTGACATAGATCG